ACTTGTTTTTCTTATATTTGGGTAGGCCAAGCTTATATGTTTGAAGAGATCCTGCAAGTTATTCTATCTTAATATCATTTAGGTCTTTGCTTTTCTCAATAGGTGTCATATTAGGTCTAAATCATTCAAGTAGGGATCTCATCACTTTTTTCCCAATCATAGCCTCGGGGATTCGCTCACCAAAGTTAAACTAGAGTTCACTATATCATTCAATCTAGCATAGAAATCATCGAAGGATTCCTCATCGTTCATCATAATCTTCAAATCTAGCGGTTAACATGTGCAACTTAGAGTTTTTAACGATATTAGTTCCCTCATGTACGGTTTCAAATATGTCCCAAGATTCCTTAGCAATCTCACCTATGGACACTCGCTTAAATTCTTTGGGGGCAATTGCCATAAAGATAGAATGGACACCTCTACTATTCCAATTATACTAAGCTAAATCATCCTTAAACCAACTAGAGGCATCAGTAAGTGTAATAACACCATCAATAGTGGTAGATGGGGGCAGTCCAATCCTTTTCCACACTAACCCAAACCCGTTCATCTATAAACTTTAAAACGGCTCTCATTTTAACCTTCCAATAGACATAATTATTACTATCAAAATAAGGAGAAATGAAAAGTGATTGACTCATCTAAACAAACAAACGGTCACATATCAATATTTAATACTAATTGAAAAAACAAATAATATTTAACCGACTTGAACCTAGAGGTGTGTAATACGAAATTTAATCAATAAAAAGTAACAAATCACTTATTTATTGTTTCTATATAATTAAGTTTAATGTCAAATTAACCCTAAGTGTCAAACATGCAATATAGGTCAAAATTATAAAAATAAATAACACCAAATTTGGTGACTAAGGAAAATCCCTTGAAGAACTCTTCACATGGATAAAAAAAATCTTCGGGCAAACCTTGCCAAAATGATCCACTAAAAAAGATAACTTGAAGTTGGTCTAGACACAACTAAATTTTAGTAACACTAACACTCAACTTGTAAATCATCGAAGAACTTTTTTGATTGTGCAACATGTACTTTCCAGAATTTTGGACCTTTTTTCCCTTCGCGTGGATCATAAAGAACGAACTCGTTTCAGAGCAACTAGAACTCCAGTTGACTCTTCGCAACTTCAGAATTCTAAAAGCTTATTAGTGAAGGTAATATGTTTGGTGTTTGATATTTAGTGTTTTGATCTTTTGGTTGAATAAGAAGAATTATGGAATTAATATTTGATCTTTGTAGTAGGGGTGTAAGCGATCCGATTTTTGCGATTTTTGACAAAATTTCAAACCAAACCGTTT